CCTGTGCAGTAGTGAGGCCTCAGAAACTGCTCTACCCAACGTGACAGGTATGGCTCCAAGGTGATAGTTTGGGGGAGGGTTGATACTCACAATAATCAAACATGAATGGAGATTTCAAAAAATTTTCTCTACTCCTGTTACTGTCGTCAGTTTCGACCAGTGAAGTTAATTTAAGTGATGCAAAAGATGAGTCTCCTTAGGGCGTTTCCCTCTTTTAAAAGCGTGTGTGGTGTTGTACTGTAAACAGGTTTTCTCCAAGGAAACTTTTCTGTGCAGGTTTATACTTCATCATCCATTTAGGAACGATTTGCTTTTTTTCTGGTATTTCATAGTAGGATTTCAGTAAGTACTTAACTGAAGGAAAGAATAAATGAGTGATATGTAGTATTTTGTGGTGTTAAGATACATATGGCTTGAGATGAAGTACTTAAGTTACCTTGAGAACTGTTGAATGATTTTTCCAACCACCTTACATAAACAGTATTAAAAAGTATTAGCTTTGGGGGCACCTGGGTGGCTCAGTTTGTTGATCATCTAACTCTTGATTTCGGCTCAGGATCCCTTAAGATTCTCATTCTCTCTGTCTGTCTCTCTTTCTCCCTCTCCCCCTCTGCCCCTCTCCCCCACTGGCATCCTCTCTCTCAAAAAAAAAAAAAAAAAGTATTAGCTTCTCAGAGAATATGCAGTCAGGTAAAGTAGAATTCTGGCAAGATAAGGGTTTGTAAAATGCTTAGAAATGCCTCAGCTGAAAATTTTGTATATTTATTTCTCCAGTTACTATCTGACAAGTTTCTTAAAAATTTTTTTTACTGTTTTATTTATTTTTGAGTGAGAGAGAGACAGAGTGTGAGCAGGGGAGGGGCAGAGAGAAAGGGAAACACAGAATCCAAAGCAGGCTCCAAGCTCCCAGCTGTCAGCACAGAGCCAGACATGGGGCTTGAACGCATGAACCGTGAGATCATGACCTGAGCCGAAGTTGGACGCTTAACCAGCTGAGCCACCCAGGTGTCCCACTATCTGACAATTTCTAATTAAACTGATAAAAGTTATTGAACGACTGATTGGTGAAAAGTGTTTTTTAATAAAATTAAACATTAAATTTAGGAATTTTCTCTGAATTTGAGTCTGAGTTTTATTCTAGATTTTAACTAGTTTAATCCTGATAATTTACTTTTTAAGAACTACCGTTTCTATGTTTTGCCTTATTTTTATTGTCTTCTGCAAGTCTGTCAGTAGAAAAAAGTAATAAAATCAACCTTTACTTAACAACCCTATTTCTGCTCCCTGGGTCCTATATTGTTGTCTCATCTTAGCTCCATAATCTACCTCAAAAACCGTGATTAACGAAAAATTAACCCGTTATGTAATATAATGCATACCTAATATATAGTAGTGATTTCACATTTTTCAAAAATATTTCCAGCCTTCACACTTGCATTTATATAGGCTCAGTACATCTGAATCATCCAGATGTGTCTTTTTTAAGCTGACGAGGAAAGTGGCATAGACTACGACCCACTGGATAACACTGTTATTTACTTGCTCTTCCTATAGGCTTCTCGCCCCCCTCCCCCCCACTATCCCTTAGCTTGTTCTCCTGCATTTAGTTCTTTATGATTTAATACGTGTTCATTCTTGGCCTCAGGAAAATGTTAGGATGTTTTCTGTCTTTGAAACATTTTTCCTTTTGTTTGATGCTTAGCGGATAGGATGGCATTTAAATGGATATCCTGTGCAGACGGATTGTACAGGAAATTGACCCTTATTAGTTCTATGAGAACAAAAGAGTGAGGGGGAAGAAAGAAGAAAGGAAGGAAATAAGATCTTTGACTTGACCAAAAAAGTCTTAAAAGTAGAGATGGGAAGAACCGGAGTGGGGAGTGAAAAGGATTGTTTTCCAGTCATGGTTCTTTTAGTACTTTGGCCTCAAAAATAACTTTTATCCTGTGTTTGTTATTTTGTATATTTGAGAAAGGTACAGTATTGTTTGGCCTCTATACATCTTATTAAGTTTGCATCAAATTGTGCTCTTTGCCATTTTTCAAATAGTGTGGTTTTGAAGGAACTGAACTTCATGCCTTTAACAAACCTTTCAAGCTTGATGGAGCTTCTCTTCAGTTCAGATGAATCACATGTCATAGACCTGTCCTTGCACACTGACAGCCTGTGCACTGTGAGTGCACAGTTCCTGTTCACCTAATTTAAATGCTTTCTCTTCTCTGAAACCTTTTCTGATCCAGAGTTTGGTTTTCTGTTCTGTCCTCTCATAGTGGTACAGTATGTGAGCATAACAGTACCCGTGATTCATTTATTCAACAAATGTTTTTTGAGAGACTCTTACATACATGCACTGTTCTGGGTGCTTGTAATTTATCAGTGGACAAAGCATACAAAAATCCTTGTCCTCATAAAATTGGTACTCTAGTTGGGGGCAGTTAAATAATATATATGAATGTAATAATTATATAGTTTGTAGTAAGAGGAGCTCTGGAGAGAAATAGGGAAGGAGACATGGGGAGGGGGGGTATGTGGGAGTGTTGTCAGGAATAGCTGCATTTTAAAATAGAATAGTCAGAGAATGCTGTACCAGGAGGGTCACATTTGAGTTAAGTGTCATGTGAATGTCTGGGGAGGAATGTTTTAGAAGAAACAGCCAGGACAAACGTCTGGAGGCAGGAGTGTGCCTGCCTTGTTCGAGTAATAGCAGGGAGGCCAGTATGCAAAACAAGGTAAACTAGGGAGGAGTGTAGGCAGATGAATTGGGCAAGACAAGTTGCAAGGGACCTCGCAGGCTCTTGTAAGGACTTTCACATTTCACTCGAAGGTAGGGAGCTATCACAGAGTTTGGAGCAGAAGAGTCACATAATCTGACTTACGCTTTAAACACTGGCTGGTGTATTGAGAATAGACAGGAGACAATAAGGATAGAGCCATGGAAATCAGGAGTGTGGGGAAATCTAGCTGAGAGATGATGGTGGTAACAAGGAAATAGTGGAGGGGGTGAGAAGTGGATAGATTCTGGGTATATCTTTGAAGGCAGTGTCAATAGGATTTCCTTATGGTTTGGTTGTAGTATGTGAGAGCAAAAAGGAGTCCATGGGGATTCCAAGGTTCTCTTCCCCCAGCTTTATTGATATAATTGACATGTAACATTGTGTAAGTTTAAGGTGTACAGTGTGTTGATACACTTACATATGGCATAGTGATTACCGCCATAGCATTAGCTGTACCTGCATCACATGTAATTATCATTTCTTATGTTGTGGTGAGAACATTTACTGTCTGCTGGCTTAGCAACTTTCAAGTATATAATACAGTATTATTAACTGTAATCATATGTTAGATGCCCAGAACTTATTCATGTTATAGCTGGAAGTTTGTACTCAAACTTGAAGGCTTTTGGCCTGAGCAGCTGAAAAGAAGGAATTACTGTTGACTGAGACAGGGAATTCTGTGGGAGAGGCAGATTTGGGAGAAAGAACGGAGAGTAGTCTTTTATAGTAAGTCCAAATGGTGTTATTAGTGATTTATAATCTTGATATTCTGAAGCTCAGCATGGTGTATGGTAGATGTTCACTAAAATTATTAATTTTGTAAACCTTAAGTGTTCATATATTGGGTTTTACAAAGTAAGGTATAATTGTATGGTTTTTGCTGGTTTTGGCTCGCTAGGATTTAAGAGTTGGCTTCAATAGCTGCTTAATTATTATTTCTAAGTTGGTCATTGAGAGTACACAAGTTCTTGTTACCCTTGATTTTGTTCCTCTACCCTTTATCTCAAGCAAGGGGACTTCTATACAACAAGAAGAAAATGAACTTGAACTGTTTGATAATAATTAAACAGAATAATAGAGTAATAATCACAAAGCATTCTAATCTTGTTACCACCATTACTGGCAAGAAACATTTATCAGTGTGGATCATGTGGTACTCGCTATAGAACCTAATAAATATTACAAATATTCTCTATACTTTTTGGCAGTTCTTTTCATTTTAATAAAGGATTGGCATTTTGCAGCCCAATGGAAATTCTGCTAGAGTGGATGATTTCTTATTAGAATAAAGGAAACCCTAGTACATGTGATCAGTTTGAAGGATGTTTCATAGAATATGGTGTTTTATTTGTTTGGTAATCCTAATTGGTTACCTTAGTACAGCTGTTTCCATTCCTTGTAACTGCATGTAAACAAGGAGCAATAATACATCTGATTCATGTTAACTTTACAGGACATCTGGACATAACTTCAGATTTGTCATAATCTTAATGTGGGACAAAATTTAATTAGCTCTGAAATTTTAAGGATACATTCCTCTTAGGAGGAAGGAATGTGAAGAAGTGAAGTAAACTCTAAAGCTATCAGGAAAATTACAGATCCAACCTACTACAGGAATTTCTGTAGACAGTTATGAAGCCATTTTTAAAACATTGGTTAATGCTATTCTAAGATTAAAATACATCTCACTGTTTCCCGTCACTTATAGTTTTGTATAATTTGGTCATTCATTCAGTTAACAGTTATTGAACACATCCTATGTAACTCTTGCTAGAAAAAGAGTTTTAATATCAAGGAATACATTGTAAAGTTTGGGATGTAAAAATCAGTTGAGGATATTATAAAGATAAAGGGTACAAATATAGCAAGTGTAATGCTTTTGAGAGTATGGGGAGGGGGAGCACGTGAGGCTTCCTAGGGGAGGTTATACACTGGAACTGAATGTTATAAAATGAGTAGAAGGCAGGCAGTCAAAGGAAGGGTGGGAGGAGATCACAGTCCAGGTAACCAGGACTCTGTGAATAAAGGCACAAAGCAGCAGGAAGCATCTGTGTGTGTGTTCATGTTTAGAATTTGAGGTATGGAGTGGGGAGAGGTAAAGCTGGAGAAGTAGGTAGAGGCCTAATCATAAAAGACCTCGGAGGCCATTGAGAAGATTTTAGCTTGATGGTGAACTATTAAAGAATCTTAAGAAGAGTGACATGGTCAAATTTTTGTTTTAAATAGATCACTTTGCCAGCTGTGTGGAGGATGGCTTTGAGGGAGACAAGACTGGAGGCAGTAGTCCAGGTGAGAGATGATGGGGATCTGATCTGAGGCATTGGCAGTAGAGATGGAGAGGAGGGAATGTATTTGAAAAGAAATAAAACCACAGATTCCAGGATTTTTCTTCTTCAAATATAAGAAAGTCAACTTTAAATGAAAAATGAGTAGAAGGAGAGAGAGACATAATAGAAAAGTGTTGTTATGTCACAATAGGTAGTTGGATAGTGGCAGACAGCCACTAAAAATAGTTTCTGTGATCGAGAAAATCACCTTTGAAGGCATAGTGTATTTTTTGTGTAAATGACCTGGGTTGTGAGAAGCAGGTGATCTTTGTAGGGATCACCTGTTTGTGTAGTGTGACTAAATTTAGGAACCATAAAGCCTGAGGAAGAAACCAGGTCTTACAAGGCTTCAACCATTACACGTGGTAGAAACTCAAATGTCCTTTGTTGGTGATATTTTCTAGAGCCTTCAATTAAGTTCTCGATTAAGATACTTACAGAAATGTACCATCTAAGAAAAGAAAATAAGATGAAAACTTTTTCATTAAAACAACGAACAATTGTTTGCTATTATATTATAGACAGTGCAGAGTAATACAAAGGTATTTTGGAATGCCAAGAGTATTTTGTATTAAACCAAAACATTTTTCTATTGTTTAACAGATATTGTTAGTATTTTTTCTTTCTGGAAGCACTGTTTCTATAATTTTTCTATATGTAAATGTAGATCTGGGTTTATGCAATATGTACATATTTCTTAAAGTCTCTGTTATCTTTTCCACAATTTGTTTTATGTGTAGAGAGCAGGGGAAGAAGAAGGGTAGTTTGGGAAGACTTATAAAACATAACTGTACTTTCTTAAAACCAGCACCACCACAAAATATCTGATATGTTTTATGAAATGAATTGCCATTTCTTTTTGAGATTTCAATTTTTTAATTTTGAGAAAACCACTTTTTCTTTCTATTTCTGATTTTGGTGAATATGTATAAATTACAGCTAAATGCTCATTTTGTGATCTTTTGTCTTGTTATATTTTCAACAAATAGACTTTTCTCATACTTAGGAGACCATGCCATTTGCTCATTCTTCATGACTCCATATTATACAGTTCTTTTCTACCTTGGAACTTTCAGTATACATATATGCCAGCAGCTAAAATACTATATATGTACTGAATTCAAATGAATTTTTAATGGTTGAACTTAGTGTCAATTCCTTTCTCTTTTTATGTCTTTCAGAAGCCTTGCACCGCCCCTATGGTTGTGATGTTGAACCCCAGGCACTGAATGAAGCCATCAGGTGGAGCTCCAAGGAGAACTTACTTGGAGCCACTGAGAGTGACCCTAATCTCTTTGTTGCACTTTATGATTTTGTGGCGAGTGGTGATAACACACTCAGCATCACTAAAGGTGAGCTTCTGTGTAACATCTCCTCACTCTTCAGTTTTCATTTGTGCTTAAGAAATAAAGGGGTCTGTTCTAGATTCTGCCTCTGACTAAAATTAGGTGATTTAGGCCCAGATATTTTTGGTTCACTGGCTTGTTTGTTTATTTGTTTAAGCCTGTATATGGGATAATGTCACTTTGTCTACTTTATAGGGTTTATTAAGGAGAAGTGGAGATAAGGTACTTTAGAAAAAGCACCATGTAGGGGCGCCTGGGTGGCTCAGTCGGTTAAGCATCTGACTTTGGCTCAGGTCATGATCTCATGGTTTGTGGGTTCGAGCCCCGTGTCAGGCTCTGTGCTGACAGGTCAGAGCCTGCAGCCTGCTTCAGATTTTGTCTCTGGCTCTCTCTGCCCCTCCTCCACTTGTGCGCTCTCTGTCTCTAAAATAAATAAACATTAAAAAAGAAAGAAAGAAAGAAAGAAAAAGCACCATGTGGTATATACATAAACTCATCTCATTCTCAGAATTCAGTTCTATATGTAATATGCAGCATTCGTCTTAGGTGGCACTAGGTTTACTATACATCTCTTCTGTTTGAACTGTGGCTAAGATGAGTCATGTTGCCGGAGCCTGGTGCTACTCAAAGTGTTGTCCGTGGGCTGACTGCTTACCTGAGAATAGTTCATTACCAGTACACATTGTTAAGATTAAGAACTTGGTCCCGCTATGTAAGCCAACTGTGTCACTAAGTATACTACTATTATTTAGTTCAGCTGACATTTTCTGGTTTTGGAGCAAGACTTTCCTTCCTTTCCCCTTCCCCTTCCCCTTCCTTTCCATGTTTATTTTATTTTTGAAAGAGAGACAGAGTGCAAGCAAGGGAGGGGCATAGAGAGAGGAAGACACAGAATCTGAAGCAGGCTCCAGGCTCCAAGCTGTCAGCACAGAGCCCGACCTGAGATCGAACCCACGAACTGTGAGATCATGACCTGAGCCGAATTCGGACGCTTAACCTACTGAGCCACCTAGGTGCAAAGCAAGACTTTGAACAAGAAGGAAGTAGTCCAGTGATTCACATTCCAGCACAAGTGTCATATCTTATTGTAGACCTGCTTTGAGTAGCACTGGCCTAGACAAATCTCTCATTTGTGTTTATATGGGCTAGTGAAAGGAATATTAGGAAGGATTTCTATTACAGTAATACTCTCAAGAGAATAGTCATTTATTTTAGTAGAAAGTTTATAAAAGGGAGCGCTAAGAACATGACTAAGTAAAATCATTCATTATTAGTTTTTTGAATAAGGACAGAAAATATGGACCTTCTATGAGAAAGAGAGGTGCCTGGGACTCAGTGGGTAGAGCATGTGACTTTTAATCTTGGAGTTGTGAGTGAGCCCCACGTTGGGTGTAGAGATTACTTTAAAAAATAAAAAATAATAAAAATACAAAAAAATTACAAAAAAGTAAAAAAAAGAAGCATGGGACATTCTTATTGTGTACATGAATTAGATTACTAATCTACCGAAGCTTGTTCTTCTGAATTTATGAAAGCCTCCTACTGGGAAAAAATATATTTCAGGATAATTTTTTTTTAATGTTTATTTATTATTGAGAAAGAGAGAGCATGAGCAAGGGAGGGGCAGAGAGAGAGGGAAACACAGAATCTGAAGCAGGCTCCAGGCTCTGAGCTGTCAGCACAGGCTCAAACCCACGAACCACGAGATCATGACCAGAGCCAAAGTCAGACACTTAATTGACTGAGCTACCCAGATGCCCCAAGGATAATTTTTAACTTAAATGAAGCTAATTTAAACGATAATTTGCCAGACATACAGTTTTTATTTGTAAGGTTGTTAATAAAATTTTAAATGGGAGTGAATAAACCAGATTAAGGCAGACCTCCACTCAGGGAATGTTACCCTTTCATAAAACTTTTACATGCATCAGTTTTTTAAATCCAGTCAGATTAACCAAAAGCAAAAGAAACCCTTAACTCAAACCTGGGGTATAGATGTGTCCCTGAGTGGGTGTAAGGGCACATTTATCTGTGCCAGGAGGCTTTAGAGGCATAGAAAAAGTAAAGTGGGTGATCTAGTGTCAAGTTACTTGAAGACTTTAGGTAGTTTTTGGGGAAGGGATGGTGATAATATTTCTGTGTGTATGAGGTTTATGCATGGGGGGAAACTTTTACATGAACTTTTAGGATAAAACAAAGGATTTCAAAGAATTTTATACGTGCAGTAGTCTCTTCGGGCTACAACACACTTTTTTTTTTTACCTTTATGGATACTTCAGTGGAGAAGTTGGTGAAGCAGTGACTCAGAACATTCCTTCTAGATAGACTTTTCATGTGAGGTTTTTCTAAGATATTCAGTCACCAAGGAAACATCGATAAAGAAAGTCTGTTGACTCCTCAGTTACTAGTTATGGCAATCGCTAGAGTGCAGCTCAGGGGGTGGGATTCTTGTTATCTCATGGCAAACAGGGACTTCTCATGAAACCCATGAGAAGCCAGATTTTTCTATCAGGTTCTTATTAATATAAAATGATGTCATGCTAAAGCTATTTTATATTTTAAAGGAGAAGAAAATACATTTTAAAAATAAAATAATGACAATTTATTATAGTTCCTCCTTTGAATATTGTTTTTTGCTTGAAATAAAAAAAACAGTTCTCCCAGCATTCCTCTGTCAGTAGAGCTCATGTTTACATCCCCACTAGTCCTATCGTCAATTTCCCTGGTGCTCAAAACTTCCAGAGTAGAAAATTCCCCTCCTAACTTCTAAAAGAGAGGAAAATAGAGAAAAACAGGGTTTTTGACTGTATCCTGCTAATGATGACCCACCGTTAGCAGTTATTTGTAAGGAAGCAACAGTAATATACTAATTCTTTACGTTTCTAGTTCTTGTGGTACAATAGAGAACAGCTATAGAGGAACAAGTTCTATTTAGCTTTTCTAGGAGCACTGAGGTTTTTTACCTGCAGATATGGTTGGTGAGTATTTATCTGTGTATTCCCACCACCACACCACATGCTCCTATCTACTCGTGTATACGTATGTATATTTTATGAGTACATACTCCTGTTTTTGTCATTGAATGTCACATCCAGGTCAAAGACGAGATCATAGGAGCTAATAAAGTTATCCTATGGTAGACGTTGCTGTGGGCTGCTGACAATGTTCAGTGACTGCCAGAATAATGATTTTGAGTGTTTCCTCAGTGGCCTTTGCCTGATAACTAGTGGGCCATGTGCATGATCTCTCTTTCACCTTTCCTGTTTTGTCTGAGCTGTAGGTTTAGGGACAAAATGTATATTAGGGAGTTTAAAGCTGAGGTTCACAACTTTAATAGAGAAATTAAGGACATTGACGTTGACAGCAAAGACATTCTGAATAACTTGTCTTGGGTTCTGGCTTCAGTGGCGGCTTCCCTTCCCACACACTAATTTTAGAGGAATGAGTAGGACTGACTCATCTTCATAAGGAATGGGAGGGAAGTTGGGAAACTATAACTGGTAAAACTTGAGTCCTAGAAAAAAGATTGTGCTTTGGGAGTCCTAACCGCCCGCCTGCCCCCCAAGCAGTTTTTTTTTCCTGAAAACAGAAAGCTCTGTGGTTTGTGCTTCCATTTTGTTTTGTTGTTTTTTGTTTCTTACGTAGATGGTCTTGCTGCTTTGGTGCCAACTGAAATTTCAGAGTGACTTTGTATTTCACATTTCTCATCCCTAATCCTTGATTGTTGTTAACATCGAACCATATATAAGATACATTCCTTGACAAACTGTTTTGAGAAAAATGAACTTTTCTTTGAAGGGTGAGACTGTGTCATTTTCCAGAATAACCTGTCTTTTTTTAATTCAAGTATAGTTGACACACGATACTGCATTACTTCCAGGTGTACAACACTGTGATTTGCTCTATTTGTTGTGCTGTGCTCACCACAAGTGTAGCTACCATCTGTCACCACACAACTCTATTACGATGCCACTGACTGTATTCTCTGTGCTGTACCATCTATCCCTGTGACTTGTTTATTCTCTGTAGGGAAGCCTGTATCTCCCACTCCCCTTCACCCATTTTGCACAATGCCCCACCCTCTCCCCTCTGGCAATCAGCAGTGTATTCTCTGTGTTTATGGATTGGGACCCTTTCTGTGTTTGTATGCCACCATACTATACCACACGCGGAGTTTCCTAATGGCATTTTTTTAGTTGGTGTAAAAACCTTTAGTAAATACCAGAAGGTTATTTCTAACTGTGCTGCTTGTCTTTAAGCCACAAGCTAAAGAGATCAATCAGGATATGATGAGCAGCCAAGTTTGTTTTCATTATTTTTTTTTTAAATGTTGGCGTAAAATTTCCTGATTGATTTTTCGCAGAGTTCAGAGTTTGATAATAGACTGCTGATATTTGAAGTTAAGTTCTCTTCTCTTCTCTTCTCTTCTCTTCTCTTCTCTTCTCTTCTCTTCTCTTCTCTTCT